ACCAAACACTCCAAATACTTCATTATACAGAATGAGAAAATTAAATCATGCATCTTGAAAAAAGGTAATGCAAGCACATAAATTTTATACTGACATTTAGCGTGAGTTTTGTATGAAAAATGAATGGAAGAAATGATCTAAAACTATAAAATAGTTTGAACAGGGAAGTACACTCCTTGTAAATTACATATGTAGGGGGGAAAAAACAAGTATTTGAAACTTTAAAGTAAATATATTTTATATTTATATACCCAGAAAACTACTCATAACTTTAAAAATTCATGAAACCTGGAAAAGGCACAATAAATTCTTTTATTTTATATTTTTAGCATCTAAAATACAGAAGCAAAATAAAAGAATCCACTTCCTGAAATAAAGTCTTATACAAAATGATTTACAGTGCAAAGTCCGAAATCCGGACGTCCAATATCCGGAATGATCTAAAATACGGAGCTCAAAACCCCCAACAACGTTTTTCTTGCAGGTTTTACGCATGCGCATTTGATTACCCCCTCTGTGCATAATAAAACATCTGAAGAGTCCAGATTCTTTATTTCACTTCAACACTAAATAAAATACCTTGTTACTGAAGAAACAATCATATTAGCATAAACGTGTATGATCAGTAATTTGGCTCTGTTGCAGCATACCTACTTGGCACACATCTCAAACCGAAACATTCCACATAGATACATCGTTGATCTGACGCCAACCTGGCGAAACATTATTTATTATACCTTCCTTTCATCACTGCATGTTTATCAACACATGACAACTTGAGTAATGACTCGTGTAGCGATGCCTAAACAATTTTTTTATGTTAATAATTTAATAATAAGGAGGAGTATGGGAACCTTTTTACATGTTGACATTACACTTGGCGATGATTCACAGATATTAAGTTAAATGCGCTAAAATATGATGACGAAGGAAAAATTTAACAAAAATTGTCTTTCCATATGCTAAAAATCGATTTTGTTGATGATACTCATAGACCCAAAGATTACATTTAAGGGCTATTTGAATTAGAAGAATAACCTGATTTGTTATTCACATAAACCCAGAACCAGCGCCAGGGCTCGTATGGCCGCAATGAGTCGCAGAATTTAGGACCACAGAGACTGCATCAGGCGGTAAGATATCTAGCGCCCGCCCTCAATAAGGCTTAAGTATATGTGGGAATTTATTTATTCAGAATAAGTTATTTGATTAAGCCTTAAGCATAAGTTATTTATTAGAACAATTAAGTATAATAAATAACTAAATTAACACAATTCCGGCTTAATTGTCTCAGTGCGTAATAGAAAAAAATAAAATTTAATGGAACAACTTGTCGTTAGTCGGCAAGCTCATGATGCATAGCCAAATATGTATAGTGAACGATAGCTAAATTTGATGATGATAGCCGCGAATTTCAAAGGTTTTCGGATATCGCAAAACAAAGGTGAAATTTTCCAACTGACAGATTATATAAAGAAATGTGGAGAAGCGGTAATAAATGAAGATGATATAAAAGAAGTTTTTCATTGTGACGACAAAGGTTCTCCCTCACCAATCAATTAATGAAAGGTGAAATCTGTAGTATGGTTCTAGATCCAGAAAATGCCGCTACTGATAGTGCAGAAAGTGACAGAGAGAAGTTACTGTAATAATGTAAACAAATAAATATTAAGCTTTTTTTGTAAATTTTGATACTCTTTAGATCATAAATACTTCATTAGTTTACAAATCACGATTTCATATTTTTAATTTCATAATTTCTGCATGCCATCTTACTAGATTTAAACTGATGATCTAATATCCGGAAAAATTCCAAATCCGGAATCACCGAAGTCCCAACGAGTCCGGATGTCGGACTTTATACTTATAACAATAACACTCTAAATTCGAAAGAGTCCTATCCGACTCTAAAGGAGTGATATCCCACCTCCCTCTAATGCCAAAATGGCACCAACTTCGAAGGAGCTATATTTCACTCTAGTAAAAAGCGGTCCCTTTTCACACAAAAACAGGAGTGACCCTTTCTTCGTTCGCTCTTCTTCGATAGTCAGATATCGCCCGATATTCGGGTGAAACCACACACATTACAAGGAGTTATAATAATAGTCTGCTCACTCCTTGATGGTGCGATTTTTATATAATTATTTTATAGGCAAACTGAAAATTGGTATTTGCTATGTAAACTTTATAGCTGATGTATTGTTTTAGATATCTGGTTAATATTATCTCTTGAAAAAAATATTTTACACTACTTTTTAACATGCTATTGTGATTTTAATTATCTGATATATACATCTGTTTTAGATTTGCTACCTATGTACGTACTTAAACATTTATTGGCGATGAGATTTCTTTCCAGATCTAACGAAATATACATATAAAAAAATTACACCCATATTAAAATATTGGAAATTCGGTGTAGTTAACATTCTGAAATACTTAACACTATCACTTTCTCACAGAATATATTTTATTTTACAGAAACATGGCTTTTGCCTTTATGTAAGCAATAAAAATAAGAACGTCAATGCAACTTATATATAAAAACTGGATTATGAATCAAAGTAGACCATCACTGAAATAAAAAAACACAGTTTAAAGACAATCATATCTTCATTGTTTAGACATATAGTTTTTCTTTCCAAATCTAACGAAATATACATATAAAAAAATTACATCCATATTAAAATATTGGAAATTCGGTGTAGTTAACATTCTGAAATACTTAACACTATCACTTCCTCACAGTACTTCTGATGTGAAATTACTTTGAACTCACAGAATATATTTTATTTTACAGAAACATGGATTTTACCTTTATGTGTAGTAAGCAATAAAAATAAGAACGTCAATGCAACTTATATATAAAAACTGGAATAGCAAGATATTCGCAATGAAAAACTTAACTTTTGAATAAAAACTTTTGAATAAAAAATAAGGATTTTTCAGGTACTTAAAACTTTGAATAAATATTTCAGATATTTTCAAAATTTGATTTGAGAAATCAAAAAATGCTTAGTTTCATAAAAGAAATTAAAAAAAAATCATTTTAGATGAATCATATATATATATATATATATATATATAGTGATATACATTCTAAATTTTGTATACATATTTTAATTTAAAAAAGCAAATTATGCTTATTCACAAGATTTGGGCACGTAATCATGTAAATTGTAAGCTAAATTTTCCATTAAATAATCATTCTAGTTGGAAAAGTAATTTATTAAAAATAGTTCTTGACAAATTTTATAATGAAATTTTGAATGTGTTAGAACAGCTGATCATATATGTATGTGTCAGTAAACCTGTATCATAATCTGATAGATTTAACTTCTTAAAATGCTACTTATAAGTGACTATATTAATACAATTTGTGAATTGATGTTACTAGTAGTTTGTCTACTTGAGCATAATATGCATAAAAAATCGAATAATAAATTTTAATATACATTGAAGTAAGAAACAAATGCGAATTTAATTTCCCTTACATGAAAACTATTCAGCTTTATTTTTAATGTATGAGATTCAGAAAATAAGTAACCATAAAATACTCTCATGCTATTGTTTTTAGCTTCATATATTGCACAAAAAATATTGCAAAAGAAATGTTTCTATTTCTTATTACATAATTATGAAGAGCTTAAAATTAATTATTACCCCAAATTACGAATAAAGTCTAAAATCTTCAGTTAGCTTGTTACGCTTTCTATTTTTGAGAAGTTATATGCATACAAATTCCTATACATTAATCATTACAGGTGAATAAATGCTTACATATACTTTTAGACTATAACTTATTTTTATATATGCTAATTCCAAGTCTCATTTGGGAAAAATAAATTTTAAAGTGAAATAATATGGATTATAGCTCACATGTGTAAGCTAAAAATTCATTTTTCATAATTCTGCTGAAAATTATTATGTATTTCATTTATTGATTAAATCCGAATAGGAATCATCACCATAACTGCAGAATTATAATAATTTCAATGAACAAAGTATTTTAAATATAAGTGAAAACAAGCATTGCATGAAAAACTCTTTATTAGGAAATATATGTACATATATATTAGGAAATATATGTACATATATATATACATATATAAAAATGGAAAATATGACACTAAAATGACATTAAAAATATGAAATGTAATGCATGTACAAAATGCAATAAATTCAGACTCGAACATGTATTTAAAGAGTCCACACAAGCTCTAGGAGTGCTGACATTATACAAAAGGCTTGCCACAAAATTATAAAAATTTGTTGATGTATGTGCATATTGAATGCTAAATACAAATTAGTTTTAAATAGAATGTCAAATGCCTTCATGGCATGATTTGGGCATGCTATTAAGTGATTTACTGCTTTAATATAGAATGAACTTGTAATACACACTATCATGGGCTGTTTATTCTGAGCTGGTCCAAGAGATTCCATGTCTTCTATTCCCTGAAAATAAATTTCTTTATTAAGAATACATCCATTACCTATCTATTAGGACAAGTCAAATACCAATGAGCCATACTAGAAAGTTTATCTTTCCAATTAAAAAAATATCGCCAGAAAAGTTTTTCTTCTTTCAAAAATAAGTAATTCCTAGTAATTTTATTCACATAGAGGTCTTTTGCTTTTAGTTTCTGTAAAAATGCAGTATAAATACATATAGGAATATGTAAATATTATATTGATGCAAATATAAAATAGGATAGTCTATCTGTGCGTTGCTTCTTAATGAAAAATGTAATAAATAATGTACATAAAAATGTAAAAAGAACAAACTATATGGAGAATTAGTCTGTCTTTTCCTTATGAAAACAAGTATCATCCCTTCATAATAAACTATTGTTGTTCATAATAAACTATTGTTATTGTAAAGATGTTTGTTCTTGATTTCATGATCGCTATAGTCTGGCTGGAAGTGTAGCTTTTGAATTTCACCTTGAAGCAATTTTTCCATCACCTTACACGTTAAAAAAAAAAAAAATCTATGTTCACTGTATATACATGCATATATATGATTAGTGTCATGCTTTAGATTTAGATCATATAAAGGCATCACACATATTACAAACCATCTTATTCTCTCGAAATATTTGCTAGTATGTAGGTGACATTCAAATCAATGCAATTCCAATTCTACAGAAATTAGCTAAATGACCATGCATCATCTGTGGGTACAATAGTCGAAAGCAGCCTGAGAAGATGAATTTTAGCCACATGAGGCCAAATACATTCACTGCTGTAAAATGGCTCATTTTAATATAATCTGCCCTCTTAAAATGAAAGTTAGTGCAAAGCATATCAAAATTCCTCAATACTTACATTTAGCAAATATTAGAAGTGCAGAATTTGGATTTTTTTTTTTTTTTTTTTTTTTTTTTTTTTTTTTTCAAATAACAACCTGATGCTAAAATACTTGCTTTGCCTTTACCCTACAAAAATAAAAATAAAAGTATATATAAAAGACATATACTGGATAAAATTGCATGTGAAATGTAATAATTAATTGAAACGATATAAATATCACACATGAACCTTTCAAGATAGAATATGTAGCAAATTTCAAAGTATATGCAGCTCAGCTCACTTACATATAGTATCAATAGCTTATTTACATATACATACACTGCAAACTAAAAATATTATCCTATGAAAAGAATTTTATAGCTAAGCTTATGAAATTATTTTTTATGCATAGACTTATGCCAAATATTTACTCATTAATAATTAATAAAACCTTTTTCCCTCTTTCTTTCCAATAATTTTAGCTGAGCAAAAGTTCTGTGAGCAAAACTAATGCTTTTAGGTCATCTATATATATATAAATACACACGTTTATCACATAATGATTACAAAAATATCATTAAAAAGGCCTTTGGCACTAGAGGCACATGCATTTACCGCTTATCTTTAAGAGCCAGAAGGAAAAAACTATAAGCCATTTAAGAATAAAGACCAATGTGAGTAATAGATGCAAAATTACTTTACTCTAGGTAATTAAGAAGTAAACAAAGAAAAGTTTTAAAGTATTCTATCATTTATAATCCTAATTAAAATCTATCATTTATAATCCTAATTAAATTCTATCATTTATAATCCTCGTTGAATTTTTAAAGATTTTTACCACTGAAATCAGCAATACTTGGTACCAGAAGATCAGGGCGTTTTGTTTCCACATATTTCAAAATTCTTGGGACATAAAAAGATGAAAACTTTTTTAAATGTCTATCATTAGAAATTGTTTCAGTTTCTATACAATTTCTTACATGGCTATCTAGACAATTTCTTACCTTCAATTGTTTTTATGACTGAAACATACTGAAATGTTTCTTTTACAATTTTGGTTTCAAATTGACCTGTTTTTGTATTCAGAGCTTGATCCAATCTACTGCCAAGCATAATTTCGACAGCTTCGATAAAATTCTGACAGCTTTTCAAAGCCTTTATTTGTCCTTTAGTTGCTGACATGCCATCAAAAATCTGCCTAATGGGAAGGATGCCTCCGTGGAGGTCTTTGTAAGGCAAACTGGTTCGTATACACGTTACACATGGAGAAAACCACAAAAAAGTCCATGCAGCCAGCTCCTTCATGCGATTCAAACTCTGGTCCGAACTACCAGTGCTCAGCGACTTTGCCGCTGGTGGGTAATATTTAGGGGATGTGCATTAATGTTCGGAGAAAAAGCATGATATTAAGCATTTGTAAGTAAACAGCCTGTTAAACATGGTATTTAGGGCATATAAATTAAAATGAGCGCAGGGGCGTAGCTAGAGGGGGGCAAGGGGCATCTGTCCCCGGGCGCAGGATCCAAAGGGCGCCAAACTGATGTTACGGCATTTTTAGAATTAAATGTTTTCCATCCTTGGGAAGCAGTAGGGGGCGCGAAATCTTCAGTTGTCCCTGGGGCGCTGAAAACCCTAGGTACGACTCTGAATGAGCAGCAAGAAATATAATATTAAGCATACGTAAGTAAAATTTACATAAAGTAAATATTAGTTACTGAAATCAATTTGGCCTTCCCCCATTTTCTCAAATTGTTCCAAAAACTGTTCCGTTAAGAAAATTTTCGGCAACATATTATCTTAGAAGGAAACATTCTTTAAACGCAATTTAATTTAATAGTTCTTTGACTGTACCTCAACCATTATGCTTCATTTCATGCCGAGACAAGTACTCGAGTATGCAGTTTTGTAAATTTTCTTTGCAAACATTTTAAAATCACTTTTAGGAAACATAGCACGGAAATCAGACAAAATAATAATAAATTGAGAAAAAATGGCATATGCAAATAAATTTTGAACAGCAGCGAAAGAAAGCGAGGAGGCCGCAAGAGAATTCTACCAGCTTTGTGCTTTTGCAGCGTTTACATTTACTGGATTCTTTGCGGTAGTGTTTTCGAAGGCAGGTGGAAGGATGGTAACTTTGAACTTCTGCAGTTCATAAAATTTCAGAATGCAGTTCCAAATACTGATATACATATGTACATTTTTTTCATGACTGTTGCGAGAAGAATTTTGCAAAGTACAAATGGATTAAAAAACACCTAAGACTGAGAAATTGTACCATACTGTCTACAAATCAGCTGATAGAGTAGTAAATCAAACTTTTAGAATACTATTAATGATTTTGTGTATAAGGAAAACAAACAAAATAGTACTTTACGGTATTAGAATTAATGTTTTATTTCAAAAATAAACCCAGATATTTTGTTTTTATATATATAATTTTGACATTTTATAGACTTTTTATTGTCGTTGAAAAGTCGTTTTGTTTCAGTTGAAATAAAAATGTTTAGACATAAACAAATTTTACTATTTAATTAAGTCTGAAAAAAACATGCCTTACATTTTTTAGAAATAAATAGTTTTTTTTTTTTTTTTTTAATTTTCTTATTTGCATTAAAAAGAATAAACATTTGGTGTACATATTATATATTGGCATATACATATATTTGTCAGTAAATACATATTTAGCATAAAATAAATACATGTATATAGCATGTAAAGTCAACTGAATATCTGGAATTTTCAAAAATCCGGACTAGGTATAGTTTTTAATTTAAAACAGAGTAGAAAATAAAATTACCTTTTAGGACATTAACAGCATCTTTGGAAACTTCTTGCAGTTATAAAAATCTGATAATTTTGAACTATCATGTAACGCCTCCTGAAAAAAAAGTATTTTATTGTGCTACAGTTTAAAAAAAGACAAGGGGCAGATAAATTTGACAATTTGCTGTGGCACAAGTATTAGGAATATAGAACCTATGTAGAATGGGACAAGGTACTAAAATTTTATGCTTGGTCTTTGATTGAAAATGAATTCTCATTAAATAGTTATCTGCATGAATTACCTGGAATATTTAATAATACAAGTTTTCAGTTTGTCATCAGAAAATCAAAACTTATTATTTTTTTTAAATAGCTGGTTTTTTTTTAGTCCAAAGGGGCAATTCTCCCAGAAGGACTGTTAATTTCGTTTTGGCATTTTGCATATATTTTGCATTTTGCATATTCCCGATATGTTTCATTTCAAATTGCTGCCACCAAACATTATATTTAAAGAAATTAAATAATGAAGAATCTGCATGAATGTATGTATGTTTCTCGCATTGTAATAAAACAACGGTACCTAGAGCCAACAAAATTTGAATAAGGTAATCTTCCATAGAATATGGGCATGTGGAAGCCCTAATTTGAATTTGAAATTGGTTTTATTATTTGCTTTATTATTTAATATTTTGTAATACTTCAACGAATTTTTGATTAACAAAGTAAACAAGTAAACGATTTCAAAGCGAGCAATGGCAAGACTGTACGAGTAAAAAAAAAATATATATATCTCCAGCTCGCGAGACTGTATTGGAAATTCTAAAGATATGTTCATTTTAAAATTATTTTGCGAGATTGCTGTTGAATGTTTTTATGGTTTAAGTGCGAAGAATGTGATATTTAATAAATAAAGGTAACACACAAAATGTTAAAAAAATGCTCCTTTGGACGTAATTTAAAATCTGAAGCTTTCAGTCTTTTTTAAAGAATGCAAGATTTTTTTTAAATCGTAAACGGAAAGCCGTCTTAGCAGCTTTATTGGCCTCCCGGACTTTTGAATGTTCAAGAGGCCTTAGTTACACCTACACTCTCGAGAATAACAACATATTTGCAAAAATATAAGTTTTAGAATGCTGATATGACCCAGGTAGTGCTAGTATTTATATTTTGGAAAAATTCAACTTTGCAACAGTAAGTGAATTTTATTGTCACAAACTATAAGCAGAATTTATAAAAAATGAAAGTTAAAAATCTATTAAAAACTACTAGAAGCTGAAAACGATATGCGTTCAATAGGAAATTCAGTAAAGTATATGGTTTTTATTTCTTCCAATACTACCAAATAATTTACACACTTGTGTTATAAAAAAAATCAAAACTTTAGTATGCATTTTTTTTTTTTTTTTTTCCACCGCTGTTCTTCTTATTTGAAATAGGAATGCATGCAAAACTAAATTTAAATAATTAAATTCGATAGCTTTGTGTAAATTGTTCAAAAATAAAAATAGTGTTAAGAATTATTTACAAAAAGTACCATCCATACGTACAGCTTTCATTGTGTTAGCAGTACGTAATAAATAAAACTACGTTACAGCATTACACTCTTAAAGCAAATTTACAGACACCTAAAAAAAAAAGAGCAAACTAACTATAATTTATAATAATTAAGATATTTATATTAAGAAATAATTGTATATATATTTTAAAAGCAAACTTACTTTTGGCAAAGGAGCTGTATCCATTGTTACGACTGTCCTCGCTTGAAATGGCGCTTAGCCAAAGAATGTTCTTTGGCTTAGCAAACTTGTTTGGTCAGTCTGGGTGGACGATGACAAGACAGGGGGTCGTCCTGCTCCTTCAATTCACTCCCTTCCCCAAGGTTATTATTGCAAGTGGGAAACATGTTCTGCTACCAAGACAGTAAATTTGCGTTGTTTGACACGAAACGGAGCGAAAACTGCTGTCACCCTCCAAATCCCACTCTGCGAGATTTAGAGTGAAAGTAATTAGAAATTGACTTCTTAACTTCAACTTACCACTTCGGGCCAGAACATAGTTTTAGAATCACGTCTGAATACATAATGAGGAAGAGCAGTATTTAACCATGAAGTTCTTCGGTCTTAGAGAGAGATATACGAGGTATTCTGGCTGCACACGTCCACATTTTTAGGCTACTCTCTCGTAAGCTATTATTACGCTCAGCCGTACTTTAGGCCCTTCATAGCTTCGCAGTCTGTTAACATTAAGGGGCCAACTCTGTTAGAATTTTGATAGCTTCAGCTATACCTCTTTAGTTTAGATTAGTTTAGTTAAATTCTTAATCTCTTAAGTTCATGCCAAAGTGTTGGCCAAGATGGAGTTCTGTCAAATCTTATTTTGAATAATAAAGGATTATTTTACCCTTCCATCTTGTTTCCTGTCACATGAACTCAAGCGATTATTCGGTTACAAGTTCTTAAGATTCTTCACTTTCAAAAGTAACTTAGAATTAACCAATGAGGAACTCTACAAAGTTAATTTTTTGTATTTAAATCTTCAATTCATACATTGGATCTAGTGCAATGGATCTAGGTGCTATCCTAGAAAATACTGGCCACTTAAGAGTACTGAAGAGAGAGAAACCCATAAGTAAACATTATACATGTGAATTCAACCATCTATATGCTGTAACAAAAAATGGAATTTGTCTGAACTTTTCCCAGGTATTGGTAGTCCAATTTCAATAAATATCAAGTAGCTGTAGGTGCTTGGAACAATAAATAACTGGGAGCAATAGGTGTATGAATGAGCTAGCAGTTGCAAAGATATGTCTCTAAGAGCATTCAATGAACTGCAAGTTCCAACTTAGTCGGCCTGTCACTACATTTGAAATTAATGGGTAATAACAGCCGCAATATATCTTCTATGTGCTACAGACAAGACGAGCCATGCTGACTTTGGCACGAAGTGCTATGGCTGGTTAATGTTACACCAGCAGCTCAAATGCGTCACTTGGCTTCAGATTATCTTTGACAGGTACTAACTAATCAATTATGTAAACACTCCATTATCAGAATAGAAGAGAAACACGCCAATGTGACAATCAAAACAGCAATAACAACCTTGTATTTAGCGTACATTTTAATATTTGTACGCTAAATACAAGGTTGTTATTGCGATTTTGATAGTCCATTACCATTTCGGAAATACTGTTACTAAGGCATTGCCACAGCATCATTGAAGTCAGATAAATTCTTTGCTCTTTTATACTCAAATGAAATAGGACAGAGAGACCTTCAATACAGGTATTAAATCTATCATTCGCAATCTTAGCACACAGCGGACAAATATGCAGAAAACAGAGATAGTTTTAATGCTTGTGCATTAATATTAACAAACATATGTACAATACATACTCTGCACAAAAAAGGTCAGTTTTTATATCCCGTTCTACTGAGCCGATTGGCGAAATCTAATTTGTTTTTTTCATGTCTAGAAAGTGCGACTTAGGATATATATTAGATTTATATATAGCATTGTTCTAATATAGGTGCTTTGACACAAAATCAGCCTTCTTCTGAATACTTAGTTCTCCCTCATATTTCGATTCTACGATTTAAATGATTCCCGAATATTAAATTTTGTCAAATTTGGTGAGAAACTTACTGAGAAATTTTATCTTGGAGCACTTTTTTCAGTTTGCACCAAGAATAATTCACTTCGTGAATTCTTATTTATAACAACAGTTTCCTTTGCCCTTTTTTCATTGTGCACCAGTGGGAATAAAAAAAGGTGCATTGCTCATTCTTTTAAATAATTTTAACAAAGTGCATAAAGCACATTGGACATTATTATTGCTTACAACAAATATACCAAATTTCAAAAACGCGGCAATACATAAATTCAAATATATCACAATGAGTTTTGAATTAAAAAAGTGTAATTTTTTGCAGGTTTGCCTAGAAATACATCTACTTTAAGGTAATGGTAAAATTTTATAATTCAAAATTTTTTTCGAAAGATTTATAAAAATTATGAATTTAAAAGTAAATTTTAAAATATGTGCGAGTTTTATTTGGATTGAAGATTGAACCTAACTTTTGAACTGTGATGGAAGGAATCCAATAAGTTTAATTAAAAAAAAAAAAAAAAAAAAGAGAGAGAGAGAGGGATACTACTAAATGCATACCAAATTCAATTAATATAGAGGAGCTAAAATTTTGAGAGCGAATTGTTTAAAAATCACTCTTGCGAATTTTACAAAACTTGGCACTTTGGCATAATTTGAGTCGCAGAATCGAAATATGGAAAAAAAAATCAGCATGTCATTTCAGAAAAAAGTTTGATTTTGTGTTACATTACCTACATTAGAACAAAGCTAAATATAAATCTAATATACATCCCAAGCCGCGCTTTCAAGACATGAAAAACGCAAGCTAAATTTTGTCAATTGGTACAGTAAAACAGAAAATACAAAATACAGAACTGTCCCCCCATCTTTTTTTTTTTTTTTTTTTTTTTTTTTCCCCAAGGTGTACTTTAATACCATCAAACAAGTTACATAAATGTACCTCGAAATTCAAACTTAAGGCAACTTCAAGACAATGACTAGCAGCATACAAGTCTCCTTCCTGCAGATGAATTTGGGCCATTAGCAATCTTCCTTCGGGATCCTTACCTTCTTTATCCACATATTCGTATAAAAGTGCTTTGGCAGCAGTAAAATCTCCTAGGACAAGAAAACAGATTCAAACTTTGAACAAATATTAAAATTTTTATTTTAAACAATACCTTTGTAAGTTCTGAAAACAAAATTCTTAAATTCTGATAAAATAAAGCAGTTATTTTTAAAAATAATTTAAAATTAATCCTAATTAAAGGAAAATACAAATTCTAGATAAGAATTTCTTTGATGTAAAAGATCTCAAATAAATGAAACAAAATTATAGTGTACATACATGTAAAATATAAGATGATCATAAAAACATATGCCCAATATTTGAATCCCTAGGTGCCTACCCACTCCACCAATCTAAATGAAATTCCAGACATTGTTATTTGAATGTATGCACTCAAGATTGTGATGATTTAAAACAATAGATCTCTCACAGTTACAGTTACAGTGAAAAAGTTTCAATATTTTTTACCAGCAAGCCCATTATTTTCCTGTCCAAACTGCCAGTGCAATGAAATTCCCTAAGTGGCATTGGAATGATTTACATATGACGAAAACTGCCGGCGCAAAAACATTTGCAAAGAACAGCATTGCTAAGGAGCAATGAGAGGACAAGAGAAGAGAGGGAAGAAAACTTTTATTGGAATTACAAGTTTTTGATGTGTCCACATTCACACATGATAACACACTACATGAGAGAGATTGTTGATGACAATGATGAATGTAACATCGCACGAGGCATTTCTATACCTTCACGTTTTATGGCATCTTTCAGTTCTGACAAATCCCATGCATTTGATGCCTTGCATTTCAGATAAACACAGAACCAGAAATCCATCAGAGTGAGGTCAGAGAATCACAGTGGCCATAAAACTGGAAAGTTAAGAGAGATGACTGTGTCTCTGAAGTGCTGCTGCAGTACTTGTCGAACACATGTGCCTAAGTGAGGAGGAGCACTATCCTGCAATCATACAATGTCATTAAATGCCATTTCACTGCTGCAAGTCTGGAATTCTGCAACATTGTTGTACACCCAGCACTTACAATGAAAAACGAATGTGCCTGCACTGCTGCACCATATAATTACTTTATTTTCATGTAAAGGCCACATTGTGGCAATTTTCGTAAGCCCAGTGAACACAGTTTTTGGGATTTCATGTTCCCCATTAAGGTGAAATCCTCATTCCTACATAAAATCACTGCTGCTTGTCTCCAGGTTGCAACAACTGGACACTCTGGAATCGATAAGGAAATAGCTACAGAACACAGCACAGAAGCTGAAGAACTTTGGTGTTCAGTACATACAAAAGATGGGCAGCAGTTTTTGTAGTATCCCTGTGAATTACGCAAAGTGCATCAATGCACCTTCTCTCAGTGTCTTGTTTTGCCTTTGAGCATCAGAAGAATTAGTAATAGAAATGAGTGTAATCAATTATTACATGAAACATCTCGTTACAACACAACTAGTTTATTTACAAATCTAATAAGTGACAACTCTAGCTTCAGCATCTCAAAACAATACTAAAAAATATAAATGGCATAAGATAAATACCCATTAATTATCAAATACACATGAAATGAAACGCGAAGCCATTTTTTCCCCCCTTTTCTCACAAAAAGAAGCTCAAAAAGTAAATATAAAAAACATTCACTGTTGCCGTACGTAATTTTTCTAAATTACATTAAACAAAGGTAATATTAGATAGACGTTCAACATGCCATTCAGTGTTGTCATTGGTGCTTTATAATCCTCTTCTTTGCAAATGTTTTATGCTAGCAATTTTCACCAGACGTGGATAGTTTAAATGCCATTTATGGTTTTTCAAAACGTTAATCAATTTGCGCAGGAAAAAAGTGACTGCTGTCATTCAAAAATTTAAAAATTTTTTCACTGCAAATATAACCATGAGAGCTCTGTTGTTTTAAATTATCACAATCTCAAGCACATACATTCAAACAACAATATCTGAAATTTCATTTCGATTGACTGAGTAGATAAGATGTTAGGGGTTCATACATTGAGGAATATATACAAAGATATATATATTTTTTTTTTAATTTTAAGATCCTTGTATGTAGTAATTTAGAAGTCAAACAAAAAAAATCAGCGTTATATTTTCAAATTTTCACAGGACTAGTTCCGATGGTTTTACCGAACCATCATCCTCAGCTGCAAAAGCACAAATCAACGAGATAAGATATAATGATTAGATAAGATAAGATAAGAAAGCCTGGACAGGAGATAAGCTACTGGCACCATCTGTTGATGAAACCAGAACTAAAAAATTCATTATTCACCAATGTTCCAGTGGAGGGTGCATTAAGATGTCTAGAAACCAGACTTCGCGAATTTCATTTCTCTTGCATCGAAATTGATGAGCTAATTTCTCTCACTCAAACTGTGTTTGAAACAAACACATTTTGTTTTCCAAAATAAATATTACAAGCAAACTGACAGATTAGCCATTAGAAGCCCCCTCAGTCCCATCCCGACTGGTATCTACATGCATTATTCTGCATATTAAATCAAAATTGTTTGAAACTTTAAATTTCCCGGTATGGTTCTACTAAATAGATGATACTTTTACCGTGTTTGAAGGTAATAAAGATGATTTAAATAAAGTTCTCTAAACAATGAATTCCATTGATCCTGCTATTCAGTTCACTTTTGAACTTGAGACTTGCAATTTTCTTCCGTTTCTCGACATTCTGGTCACACGTAACACATGCAACTTCAGTACTACGGTTTAACGTAAACCTTCATCGATTTGCCTCCCACCACACTTCAAATCATATCATCTGACAAAACTAAAATTAGCTTCATTTCATTCCTATGTTTTCCGTGCTCTTCAAGTTTGCTCCTCCAAACTATCCCTTGATGAAGAACTAAATTATTTAAAAGCAATAGCTATTGACAGGGGCTTTTCACATAACATTATTAATCAAGGAGTTAAAAAATTCTCATCTCAACATACCAAAAGGCACACTCTTGTTTTAGGAGATTATAAAAATTCTGTTGTCATTCCCTTCTTTCCATCAATTAGCTATAAAGTTGCGCGTATTTTGCAGAAATTTAACTTTCGGATCGTTTATTCTTCCATCAATAAAATTCCGAGTTCCATACTCAAGGACCCCATTCCAGATATGAATTCCTGGGGTATTTACAGGATTCCTTGCCAGTGTGGTTCAATTTACATTGGCCAAACTAAGAGAGCCTTAAAATTTCGCGTTAAGGAACATAAGGCATATGTTAGAATAAAGGAAACACAGAAGTCTTCTGTTGCCCAGCATTGTTGGTGCGAAAATCACATGTTCAATTTTTCTGCTGCCAAAATTATTCAAAAAACATCTTCCATTGGTGAACTGGATTTTCTAGAGACATTTCATATTCAAAAAAATCTTTCTGTTCTAGTTAACGAACCTAATTCCAATCCATCTTTGCCTTCAGCCTACCTTTGCCAAGTACGTTTTAGTTCTGGTTTTATCAACAGATGGCAGCAGTAGCTTATCTCCTGTCCAGGCTTTCTTATCTTATCTAATCATTATATCTTATCTCGTTCATTTGCACTTTTGCAGCTGAGGATGATGGTTCGGTAAAACTATCGAAATTAGCCCTGTGAAAATTTGAAAATATAACCCTGATTTTTGTTGTTTGACTTCTAAATTAATATTTGTTCGGCGTGTTATTGTATCTTAACTCTTTCGCATCGAAGTCGCCCGCACGCCCGTTCATTCAGGCAACGGCAAACCGCCCCAGCGCCTTGTTTATTTTCTACCTAGAGCTTTCCCCCTCCACATCCGTGTATGGCTGATTGGTTTCGCGAGTTGTTAAGAGACATGTCAATCATTCTTTTGAAGCAACTAAAGGAGACGTATGGAAAGCTATTGACGTTCGCAGGTGCAATCCAACCCTAAGGTGAAACTGCACACAATGGATGAAACCGCAGAAAAACCCCCAAGAGAGAAGCAGTCTTTTCACTTAAGTAGGTTATTGTTAATGCTGTAGCTACTAGACGGGGGGGGGAGGAAAACCATTCCATGACAAATTCGTAAACACGGGCGTTTTCGATGTTTGATTAAAACAGATCTGGTAGTCTCTCGATGCGAAAGAGTTAATCTTTGTATGTAGTATCTTGTATCCAAGCGTTTCTGCCCTCCCATTTAAAACATCATCTATAAATTTCTCATGTATGCATGCAGTGCCAAATTTGAGTAAATTTGAAAGTGTAGTTAATCATTTTAATTCTTTTGTGATTCTTAAGTGAATAAAATATTTTCCAAGTTTTTCCAAAATGTTTAAAACTGAGTATCATGAGTTATTAAATATTAGGTTAAAGTGGTTGAAATTAATTCTAAATTTAAAAGCACACAATGTTCAGTCAAGGTTATCATCATCTCCGTCATAATACTCCAACTCATACAGTTGTCGTTGCCAAAGAAGTAATATAGAAATGTAGGTTTCAAGAGACTAACCACACTCTTCAGCCCATGCCTAGCTCCAATATCTCTGCTCTTAAACTCAAATCAGAGTTTTGTAAATGATGTTTTAACCGCTGATCAAGAAATGAAAATAGCAGTTATGGAACCTTTTGCTAACAGATTTTCAGATCACACTTTTAAGGGTATAGAACTGTTAGCTAGAAAATATGTAGAGCGTGTTAAACGGATTATACTGAAACAAAAAATACAACTCAGTTTTTAGTCCAAAGGGGCAATTTGCCCAGAAGACCTATTAATTTCTTTTTGGCATTTTGCGTTGATTCACTATAAGTGTTGTTTCACTTTTCGAATTGCTACCACCAAATATTATCACCCTTTATTATATTTAAAGAAATTAAATAATGAAGAATCTGCATAAATGTACGTATGTTTCTCGCATTGTGATAAAACAATGGTACCTAGAGCCATCAAGTGTTGAATAACGTAATCTTCCTGAAAATATGGACATCTGGAAGCCAAAATTTGGAATTTATTTTATTTGGATTTCCTATTCTGTAAAACTTTAACGAATTTTTGATTAACAAGCTCAAGGATTTCAAAGCGAGCAATAGCAA